AAAAAAAAAAAAAAAAAAAGCTGAGTTGGAAAAAGGTGCTTCGGGACATCCGTTAAAATTGGAACGATACCGAGAAGATTAGCATGGCCCCTGCACAAGGATGACACACATAAATCGGGAGGAAAAAAAGAAAAGAAGCTGAGTTGGAATAAGAGGGACGGATCACAAGAAAGGACCAGGTCGTCAGAGTAGGATAGCAGGCTCGTCCAGCAGGACATCTACAAACGTACAAGGAAGGCAACACAGAGACCAAACTGCAGATTCAACAGGCAAAGACTGCCTCAGCAGTGGTGGAGACAGCAAAAGAGTGAGCCTGGCCCCGGTTTCAAGTAAATCTGGCAGTCCTGGCAAGACCGCGACTGGAGGAATCCAAGAAGGAAAAGGCTGGCTCGCTGTCAATCGCATCGTCCAGCACATGAAGCAGTCAATGCTGATTGGAGGTCCTTCAGCCTTGACGGAAGGAAGTGTGGGTGTGTCACTTACTGTACATTATGATGGCTTGCTGGTGGAAAACAACCGGACTGACGCTCCCCAGAACTAGGCTACCAGCCGGGCCGCCCGGGTCCCGGGTGGCCAGCCCGTGCAAGGACCAGGGAAGGTCCCAGCCAAAAAAAAAAAAAAAAAAAAAAAAAAAAAAATCCGAAAAAAAAAACGTGTTATGCAGAAAAATAAACTGAACAACTTTTGCCTCAGGGTCACATCGAAATTCTGCACCAATTTTAGAATAAAAATAAAATTTAAAAATAATGTTTTTATTTTTATTTATATTTATTTTTTTTGGCCCGGCCGGGCAAGTGACCCCGGGCCACTCTGGTAGCCTAGCCCCAGAATGAATGTGGAGCCAGGCCGTAAGGTCGTGTTTGGTTTTAAGAAAGAGAATCTGACACATTTGGCATGTCATGACCTGCCAGGGTGACACTATAGCCTCCGCCGATGCAGATGGGATTGTGAAGCTTTGGGACATCAGAATGGTGGCTGAACGGATGAGCTTCAACGCAGGTCCATACCCAGCAAACAAAGCAGCCTTTGATCACACAGGAGAGGTGGTTGCAACAGCCTGTGGTGATGGCAAGATCCGATGGTAAGCTTTTCCC